TCATCAGCCATCAAAGTATTCCATGGCCCCCATCAATACTTGCATTGTTCTGGGTTCATGGGTGATTTTAGGATTATGCATCATGTTATTAGAAAGTCGGGTTGAAGCAAGAGCTTTCTTTGTGTTCGGAGACTCGCTAGTTGACAATGGCAATAACAATTTTCTGGCAACGACTGCTCGAGCAGATGAGCCACCTTATGGCATCGATTATCCAACACATCGACCAACTGGCCGTTTCTCCAATGGCCTCAATATTCCTGATTTTATTAGTTGGGTTTGCCTATATTACTATCGTTATTATTCTAATTCAATAATTGATTGTATATATGTAAATATAACATTATTAATTTATTTTTAAAATTACATTCAGGTAAAGAAATTGGCTCAGAATCTACATTACCATATTTGAGTCCAGAGCTCAGCGGAGAAAAATTGCTTGTTGGAGCCAACTTTGCTTCTGCTGGAATTGGAATCCTCAATGACACTGGCATACAATTTGTATGTTAATTTGAAGGGAAAATTTCATACTTACAAATTCTTTTATATATGTATATATATTTCAACCTTATTCTAAAACGCAAATATGATTTAATTAGCCTTAAATTACCTAACTGTCCTGATAATAACAAATAAAATTGGCAGATTAACATCATAAGATTGTTCAAGCAACTTGAATACTTCGAACAATATCAACAGCGAGTGACTACTCTTATCGGAGCTGACCAGACTAAGAAACTCGTTAATGAGGCACTCGTCCTAATCACCGCGGGTGGAAATGATTTCGTGAACAACTACTTTTTAGTTCCGTACTCTCCAAGATCTCGTCAATACTCCTTACCAGATTATGTCAAGTTTGTAATCTCAGAGTACAGACCAATACTAATGGTATTCCATACCTACTCAACTTTCTCTTAAATGGTTATTAGTACATTAACAAATACAGTGTTCTGTAGACTATGTTTTTCTAAGTTTTGTTACTTGATAGAGATATTTTTGTATAATATATTGCAATATTGCTTATAATTTCACAAGGATTAAAAGAATATCAACACCTACTGGTTGATTTTTTATTGTAGAAGCTGCATGATCTCGGAGCACGAAGGGTACTGGTGACAGGAACTGGACCATTAGGCTGTGTTCCGGCAGAATTGGCTATGCGCAGCAGAGATGGCAAGTGTGCAGCTGAATTACAACGAGCTGCAAGCTTGTACAATCCGCAACTTATTGAAATGCTAAAGAGTCTCAACACTGAATTGGGTTCTGACGTCTTCACTGCTGTCAATGCACAAGAGATTCACTATTCCTTCATTACTAATCCTCGAGCATTTGGTAAGTTATTGAAGTTGATGATGCATATAAACAAGGACAAACATTGATTATATAGATATAAATTGGATCTGACATGATTATGGTCAGGATTTAAAACATCTAAAATAGCCTGCTGTGGACAAGGACCTTACAATGGACTAGGAATCTGCACTGTGGCATCAAACATATGCGAAAACCGGGAGGAATATGCATTTTGGGATCCATTCCATCCATCCGAAAAGGCTAATGCTGTGATTGTTCAACAGATAATGAGTGGATCTAGCAAGTATATGAATCCCATGAATTTGAGCACCATTATCGCCTTGGATTCTAAGCTCTAATTACATTTTCTCGATAAATAATACTCAGTACTTTGTGGTCGTTTTTGTAGTATATACCATCCTACATGTTAGGAGTGGGAGTTTTGTTTCTTGTGCGTAGGAATGTCTTCAACAATTGAAAGAGTGATGTTGTAAGTTATTTTGCTGCAATTGATTAATGACTATTGTTCAATGCTTGCTTAGAGAATATTGTATCAATCACTATTTTGTTGAATGTCAATATATTCGCAAATAAATAATAGCTAAAAGTAGTAAGACACGGTAATTCATGATAGCTAAAGATAACAACAAATGATAATAAAGAAATGATAGCAACTAATAATCGAATTAGATTAAGTAATAGTTAAAAACAATAACTAATAATAGTCATATTTCTCGGGGTACCGATGCTCCAAAATAAATAGAGAGTCGGTATATATTTCTCAATGTATACCTCTGCCTGCACAATACATGTTAACAAAGGAAATTAAATTCGGATTGAAACTTTATAGATTGCAAGAAATTTCTTGCTCACACTCTATCCTAACTATAAAATGATCAAACTCTCAATATGCCATCCTATATAGAAAAGAAGACCATATTTACACGACAATCGGGTTTTAACCTGTGACTACTTCAATTAATGTAATCTACCCGTTTTAAAATATATTTTTCATCTATAAATATAATAGATTTACTGACATTAAACTTAACTTGATTATCCGAAACTCCGCTAGTACACTATTGAACTAAATTTTCAATCCTACTCAATCAAGCGTCACAGCACAACAGCAAATCACAATATACCCACAAAATAATGAACTCTACGTTCTCATCGAGGTAAAGATACAATTCAATCATCTTGATTTACCCCGATTTTTGTTAAATTCTATAAATTTATTTTGCAAAATCACAATTCTATCTAAGTATTAATCTAATAAAAAATTGTAGATTCTGTAAACAAATATATTAAGATATAATTGTTCAAACCACACTGCAAGCGTCCAGAAACCAGTCAAATGTGAAGTTTCCCCAAAAGAATAGCAAAAAGTAGTTCTAACCAACAACTTATATGAAAGTCCTAAAAAAGCCTTGCGAAAATTTCTCAAATTTAACACCAACCAATTGTTTATGAAGTTACAGCTTACAATGGTTTATACGCCATGGTTTGTAAGCGTTTGCTTATATGATGTTAGTGTGAGATAGACTAAAAAGGAGAGAAGTAGAGACAAATGGAAAGTTGATATAGATATATTTGCTACCTGCGCATACACTATATATATATATATATATATCTATACAATAAATATAAGAAGTAGAGACAACTGGCAATACAATATATCTATGTATTTAAATGTGCAATTAAATAACAAAAATTAAAGAAAAAAAAAGAAGATATTTTTTTTATATTCATATTATATATATATAATTAAAAAAATAAATGAAATATATAAGAATATCAAGTAACTATATGTATGTGTGTGTATATATACAATTAGATAAAAAAATTAAAGGAAAAGAAGAATATTTTTTTGTACATTCTTATTATTTTTTGTACATTAATTTTATTTCAATTATTTTGTTATATTTATATTATACACTATTATTATTTTCAATCATATTCTTTTTAATATGTGTTGGATCAATTTTTTTTATTTTAAAAAATACTTAGTCCCATAAATATAAAAACTTTCAAAATATAACACTTGTTAAACCGCTTCAATTACAAATTTAACATAAATTAATCACTCTAATTTACAAATTAATCTATTAAAATAATAAAATTCATCAACTTTTCTGAAAAACTATTAAATTGTTCACGTAAGTTCCAACCGACCATATAAGAAAATAGAATGCATCATGCAACATAAATTTTCCAACTTTCCTAAATTCATACTTGAGTATTGCGCTCGACAACAACAATTTCAGTTTTCAATTATCTAAAAATTTAAAAAGTTAAAAATAAAAAATTATAAATTAACAAGTTTTTTTTTCTTCAAACCTAAGTTTAAATATAAATAATGACCTGATTACTGAAGCAAACTTTGTAGGCATATGGTTTCAT